CCTAAAATCAACGTCATTCAAAGGGAATATTTACAGGATTATAGCTCATGTAATCATACTGATTGATGATTTGGGATCCTTCTAGAAGGCGACCTGTGACCCATTATGGTCAAAGGTTTTCTGTTCCTAGTGACCAATGTGTGAGCAACTCCTACACTGGTAGGAGTTACATTGGATAGTCCTACTATTTATTTTTCATATTTGATCATTTATGAATTATATTTATTACAGTTCAGTTAGTAGTATAGTTCTAAAGATAATAAAAGTTTATCACATCCAAACAGACAAAACACCTCATTGTTAAAATATTTTGTAGAATTAACTTGTTCTTCATGAGTTTGAGGGAAAATTAAATTTAAACTGAGACAAATGTCTTTGCTGTGATCTGGAGTCTACAAATCTTCATCTTTTAGTGTTAATAAATGTTTAATAACTGAAGCAGCTACAACATGTCTCTCACAGGATGAGCTCCTGTTGTGACGTGCTCTTTCTGTCAGAGTTTGGTCACACGTTGAAGTTTCACATGTTTACATAACGTAAAGTAAAATGTTCACGTGTATTTGGCTCGGTGGGTTTACTACAGTAAAATAATGACAACGCTCCGAACACGTAAGTGTTTAAGTTGGACTTTAGATACAAAAGACTGGGCAGGTCGGGGCTCGGTTCTGGTTCTGGTTGTAGTAACGGTGTAACAGCTCAGGTATCTCCCCAGCTGCAGTGAACTGGTCACACGTGAACACATACGTTTAGACGTTTAATCATTTATTACATAACTTTACCTTCATGCGAGGCGGGTGGTTCTGGTAGCGGGTCGAAAAGAGAAAAAAAGTCCTTGGAAAAGTCCGAGCAACTCTGTTTACTTCACCTGCGGTTCTGCTCAGACGGCAGGACCCGCCCTGCTCTGCTCTGATAGGCTAAAACTGTGACTCTGGTTCTTTTATTGGTTGAAAGCTGCGTCCATCACAAGATTTTTTTTTTCTTTTCTCAACAGGAAATGCGCGGGGGAGACGGAGAACTTTAATCGCTTCTGCCCGACAAAATTTAAGACCTTAAAGTAACACATTTAAGACGAACTTGCACATTTTTAAACATATTTAAGACCTTTTAAGGTCTTAATTTTAGATCTGTGAATTTAAGACTTGGATTTTTAAGGACCGGCGAACACCCTGYGAAGTCACCACAGTTGTCGTTTCTGCAGGAGAACAGGAAACATCAGTCAGCAGCTGCTTCAACAGAACCTCCTACCTTCCATTATGCTGATAAAAATCTTCCTCAAACTCCCGGATGGTCTTCCTCAGTTTCTTCTTCTCTGCTCTGGCCTTCCACAGCTGTTCCAGCAGCTCTGGCCTGAAGGATGATGGGATTAGTAGTTATAAGAGATATAAAAGTCTGTGGTGGTCCTGGTGGGGTGGTCTTACATGGACGATGCGTTGGAGCTGGACAGCCGCAGGTCCAGAGCCAGCCTCCCCGACCCCTCCTCCATCTTGCTCCGCTCGTCGGGTGGGTTCGCCGAGCCGCCCYTCGGGGTCACGGCGTCGAAGGCCATGATGACCTCGGAGCTCTGCATTTCTCCGCCGCTGCTCTCCCCTTCCTCCTCCTCCTCCTCTTCCTCCTCATCATCCTTCTCCTCCTCCCTCTCCTCGTCCTCTCCACCCTTCCGCTCCTCCTCCTCCTCTTCTTTGATCTCCTCCCAGAAATGAGCGGTTTCGCCCTCGATGATTGGCTGCAGGGTTTGGCTCCGCCTCTTGCTGGAAGGAGAAACCTGGAGCAGAATAATTAATAATGAATATTTCGTTGGTTTCGGTGGTAAAGCAGAGGCGGCATGATGTTTTCTTACAGTGACGGGTGTGATGCTGACTCTGGTGAGCATCTGTTTGACCAGCCTGTAGCGATCATAGAGAGGCTTCACCCCCAGACGCTCCTCTCTGGTCACCTGACGACACGGGAAAAAAGGTTTGAATCCCGGCAGATGAAACTCACGCAGGTTTTGAGGATGTGGGTGAACTTACCGGTCGACCGTGCAGGCCTTCATAGTGCAGGAGGTTCTTCTGGAGGACCATTTTCTCACAGGASAGCTGTTCTTTGGTCATCTTCTGCACAGACAGACGGTGATGTTAAACACTTGTCTCAGAGACGTTATGTCAGTTCTGACGTGCTACCAGGAACGCTAACGATAAACGTTTCAGCTGAAGTTCAAACCTCACCTCCCTGTGTGAGGTCTTCAGATTTCACATTTCTAGTGTTTAACAATTTAACAAGAACCTTTGTTAGAGATAGATATTTCTGTATTAGTATAAAAATGGCATAAAAATGATTAGTTAACACTTCTAATAAACTGAATAAACTTTTGTAAATGAATCCTTTAGAACTAAACTGAAACGTATGTATTTATGTTATTTTTCTTGCATTTAAAACATAATTAAATTTTGTTTCAACAGAAAAACACTGAATCTGTTAATAATTAAAAAACAATTATATCTGTTATAATAATAATAAAAGTCTGTTATAATTTCATCTGTTATAATAACTAATAAAAAACTGTTATAATTTCATCTGTTATAATAACACTAACACAAAAACTATTAATGACAGGCTGCTTTCCAACAATATGAATTCCAATACGATTGATAAAGTTGTTTATCACTGGAAATCTGAGCATAAATCAAACTTTGGCAGCTGTGCTTTGATAGTTTCTATTATTCAGTCCAGTGGTGTACAATCCTGGTCCTTAGGAGCCCCTGTCCTGCATGTTGTAGATGTTTCACTGCTTCAGCAGGTCTTCATGTTCTGCAGGGGCCTATTAATCACTCATTAATTCTCAATAATGCAGGACTGTGGTCTTTGAGGACCAGGACTGGACACCGCTGATTTAGTTATTATTCAGGTTCCTGCAAAGAAAAGATGTGAAAACGGTTCACAACTATTATCCTTTTTGCTCCTCACCTTGATGTCATCAGGCCACCCGTCCTCTTGTCTCTTCCCTTTGACCCTCCGCTGGATCAGGTCCAGTGTTTCCTCCCTGGTGGGACGTGGACCTTTGACCTCTGCATCATGGGAGCTGTGATCCAGCGTGGACCCAAAGCTTTTGGGCAGAGTGTTGCTCCGAGGGCGGGTCTGTGGGCCGAGCTCGCTCTCCGCACAGTGTTTGGCATCTAGGGAAAGACGAAAACGTTGGACACAAAAACAAAAATAAAATAAGAAACATGATGTGTCGAGGACGGAGAAGGTGAAGTTTTTAAAGGGATCCATGATTAGTTGTAACATTAGACTTTATTTGATAAACATATTTTAACTGTAAAATAAAGACTGTAAAAAACTGTAGGCTGTTTAGTTTTTATAATTTTTAAACTAAAAGTTTAAAAATATATTACACGGACGGGGCCATTTTATTTACGCGCAAAGCATTCTGGGTAAATGATGTGTGAATAGGTCCTCTGTGTGAGCGAATTATATCCACCCTGAAGGTTAATCTTGGACAATATCTGATGATCGACTCTTAAATGAAACCAGAGAGCGTTGACAGAGAGGAGAAGGTAGAAATGACTCAGCCTGTAACTGAAAATATGGATGGAGGACAACAGAGCTGCTTCATGGACGAAGAACCTCAGCTTAACCTGTTAGTGGGCGGCACGACGGCTCAGTGGTTAGCACCGACGCCTCACAGCAAGAAGGTCCTGGGTTCGATCCCCGGTTCGGACCTGGGGTCTTTCTGTGCGGAGTTTGCATGTTCTCCTCGTGTTTGCGTGGGTTTTCTCCGGGTACTCCGGTTTCCCCCACAACACAAAAACATGTACAATAGGTTGCCTTCAGGCCCAGGCCGCCCTTGAAAAAGAGATCTGAGATCTCAATGGGATTTGCCTGGTAAAATAACAGTAAATAAAATAAAATAAAAATAGTCTTAGTGCTAACGCTATACTGCCTTATATGTATTAGCTCGGCGCTAGCGTGACAAACAGGCTAAACTGAGGTCCTCCATCCATATTTTCAGTTGCACCTGAGTCATTTTTGTGTTCCCCTCTCTGTCATGTGGATGGAGGACCTCGGTGACGAGAGGAGAATGTGTAGCACTGAGCTAATACATATATATGGTGATAGCGTCAGGGCTAATGCTAAGAKTAACAGGCTAAGCTGAGGTTCTTCATCCATGAAGCAGCTCTGTTGTCCTCCATCCATATTTTCAGTTACAGACTGAGTCATTTTTACCTTCTCCTCTCTGTCAACACTCTCTGGTTTCATTTAAAAGAGACAATCATCAGAAATTGCCCAAGATTAACCTTCAGGGTGGATATAGCTCGCTAGCAGCCTCGCACCGAGGACCTATCCACTTCATCATTTACCCAGAATGCTTTGTGTGTAAATAAAATGGCCCTGTCCGTGTAATATATTTTTTAACTTTTAGTTTAAAAATTATAAAAACTAAACAGCCTACAGTATTTTTACAGTCTTTATTTTACAGTTAAAATATATGTTTATTAAATAAAGTCTAATGTCACAACTAATCGGAGATCCCTTGAAAAACAGCTGGAGAGTCGAAGTGTGCAGCGATATATTAGACAACTGGTGGAAGTGAGCAAATCACCAACAAGAAACATGCATAAACAACACAATGCAGTAAAACAGTTTTATCACAGAGAAATAAGGACACTGGGGCAACCAGTTGAGCTTACACTCAGCTGGTTGATCAGTTCTGAAAGTTCATCTGAACACATTCCACCTCAGTGTGTTTATTCTGTAAACAGATCATGTTACATCTCTCCATTTCTTCTCATTTATCCCATGCCAGCATGCTATCTGAACCACACCAGAACAGCGCCCCCTGCTTAGTAGTGTTTGTAAAGTCTACTTACTGGGGGGTTTGTACTTACTGAGGTCATACGGTCTAGAGCTCAGGCCTGAGGAGGGGTGGAGCGGGAGGGTGGGACTGTGATGGGGAGGTGAGCAGACAGAGGAAGAGGAGGAGGAGGAAGGGGAGGAGGGAGCAGGGTGGCGTCTGTGTGAATGGAGCAAAGCCTGGTGCCTCAGCGTGCTTCTGGGTAAAAGGTGGTGCTGGCGTCCTGGTTGGGCCAATCAATCAATCAATCAATCAGTCGTTGGGCAACAGAGGGAGGAAAGTGGAGAGCGGGTGCTCGCGTTATTGTTTTTTCTCAGGTTTGATTGGAAACAGAGACATGTCTCAGCCACTGCGTCCTCCGAAAAGGAGAGCAATCACCTCGCAAGAGAGGAGGTGGACAAACGACCTGAGGCTGATTCAGTACGGTGAAACCGGTTTATCATCGATTATCATCGATTATCATCACACTAACCAGGATTTTCTGATAATCAGTGCCACTTTATGCAGCTGTTTTATCCCCCTCAGAGCTCTGCTTATTAACACCATTTCTAAGATAAATGATCTTCCGTAGCTTCACCGTACTGAACTCATCCTGCAGGTTTGGATGTGGGTTCACAAGGACGCACCAGCACACAGAAGGGTGGGGAGCCACGCATGTGAGAGCCACCTCAACCCCCAACATGTGCATGTCTGCTTTGTTAGACCAGCATGCATGTCATGTAGTTCAAACGGGTCAAGAGGGTGAGAAATGGGTCAAACCGTGTGATGATGAACAGGATGACCCACACTCTTTCCCCTCCCCAACAGACACACAAAGATGCACACTTACAGGAAAAAAAAAGAAGTGGATCTACCTTTAATCTGCCTGCGGATCTTAGTCAGATCGGTCATCCATTTGAGGACTTTGGGGTTAGCTGCCTTGTCTGCATGAGAGGGCTGCACACAGAAACATCAAAACAACAAATGAGGCTTAAAAATGAATAAATATTACATCATCAGGACTGACGGTAAGAAACATGGAGATGAATGAGTCTAAACTGTGCTTTGATGCCATTGATCACAAAAACATAAAATTTCAGGGCAAAAATTAGGAATACCTCTTCAATTAATCAAATGATTAAATTAATAACATTGCTGTTTCTTAGTTATGTTCTCATGTTCAAACACGGTTCTCTATATTAATTATTTTAATTGTCTTTTGCTAAACAATGCGAGGAAGGCAGAGCAGCACTTCAGATCTTTTGTTTGGGTCTCAGTGCAGTTTAGAAACTCAAAGCCCTAAAGTGCAGGAAACCCCCTCATCAGATCCGTAGCTGTATGAAGATATGGAGAGGATGAGGAGAAGTGATTACTAAAATTATTTTTGCAATCAAGCTCATTATGTGAGCTTTAGTGGATTGACTTATTTGTTTGTACCTTATAGTTCCTTTCCTTCTCAAACTGCTCCTCAAACTGCTTGATTTTCTTCTTCAGATGCTGAAGCTTCTTGGTCAGTTGATGAGTCACTGAATCTCCCCTCATGGCCTCTCTGGAGCCAAACGACGCTCGCCTCGGCCTGAGGACACACACGTGTATACATCAACTGCACCGACCTGGACTGGAAACGTTCTGATCTTCAAACACTCCAGGATCTCAGATATTCATCGTACCTCGGCGCTTTAGTGGGGGAGGTGGTGTCTGGGTCCTGCTGGAGGAAACGCTGCGTGCAGTGCGCTCCGAAGTCCAGGAAGCGCCGTGCCAGAATGTGAGGATGGGTGCGCGAGGACGACGGGGAGTCAACCTGGCCTCCCTCCCTGACGTCCTCCTCGCCGTCGTCCTCCAGGGGCAGCAGCGGGAGGGGGACCATGCGGCCAGCAAGTGGGGAGAGCTGGGCCTCGCCGTTCTCGCTGTCGTCCTGCCAGGATTTGAAAGCTGGAACAGGATCTGGAAAAAACAGGAGGTAAAAGGATAAAAGGAGGGATTAGTGCAAACAATCAACTAGAAAATAAAAACATAACCCCACACTACCAAAGCCCTGCATATAACACCGAAGTAGTTCATTATATATTGTTTGTATGGGATAAATCTTGCCAGCGGGAATTGAATTCCTCAGATTGAATCTGTATGTACATAATTTGAAATTGAAGGCATTGGTTTGAAAATTWATTTTACTCAATTGAAACAATTTACTGGTTTGAAACTGAATTTAAAGTTTTGTATCTGAATTAATTTGCTTTGAATCTGTATTTTGCTTTATTAAAAATTCAGTTTGACTACTTTCACTTTCAGTTCCAAAATTCAGATTTTTGTGTCACATCCTGGTCCTTGAGAAAGCCAGGCAGAGTAATCAAACACAGATCCACAGATTTACATTTCACTTCGGTGAAGTTTCCCTTCTGTATGTAACAGAGTTGATGCAATCCACAGTAAAAGTGACAAAAACAGTTATTTTATTGCAGATTAATTTTACCTATATGTAGAAAATGTTACATTTACATCACATCATGGATCAGTCAGCAGCAGCATCTGATCAATATGTGAACCATGATGTGATGTAAATGTAACATTTTCTACATATAGGTAAAATTAATCACTGCAATAAAATAACTGTTTTTGTCACTTTTACGGTGGATTGCATCAACTCTGTTACATATAGAAGGGAAACTTCACCGAAGTGAAACATAAATCTGTGGATCTGTGTTTGATTACTCTGCCTGGCTTTCTCAAGAACCAGGATGTGACACAACAATCTGAATTTTGGAACTGAAAGTGAAAGTAGTCAAACTGAATTTTTAATAAACCAAAATGCAGTTTCAAAGCAAATTAATCCACATTCAAAACTTTAAATTCAGTTTCAAACCAGTAAATTCTGTTTCAATTTAGTAAAATTAATTTTCAAACTAATGCCTTCAATTTCAAATTATGCACATTCAGATTCAATCTGAGCAATTCTAATTCAATTCCTGCACAAGATTTATCCCACGTTTGCATCTTCATGTTAAAGCTGCCTGAAAAGGTCTAAAAGTTGAGCAGATGAGGGAAAAAAGGAGGAAATTGTGTGAGAAGGGTCACGATGGTAATGAGACAAGGACAAAGCTTAATGGTAGTGTAAGAGTTAGTGCAATCAGAACAAACGGTGCACTGAACCATCCACTCAAGATAAAACTTTCCTGCTACATCATTAAATTTGAAGGAAAAGTTGTTGACATGCAGGCYTTTCTTCATCCCACACGTGTTAGTTTCTCCTACATTAGCTGCTGCAGTGASAATCAGTTTGACAGGAGGGATGGGTGGAGCCGTGGATGGACACGTGGATGTGGAACTACTTACCCTGACCTTCTTTTTGCAGATGCATACATGAGAAGTCGATGGAGGGGAGGTGGAGATGGGAAGGGGGTGACGCTGTTTGGATGGGTGGAGGAAGGAGAGGAAGCAGGAGGGACAGGGAGAGAAGTGGCACAGAGAAGGAAGCAGTAAGGTCAATCATTCGTAACAACTTCACCCACCAGCATTCAGCCCATCTGTGCTTCTAAAACAAGTCTGAACAGAGGAGGAGGAGAACCCAGGTACAGGTTTCAGAGCCTCTAATAAATCATGACACAAACAGTGAAAGATGTTTTCGCTAAACAGGATGTGATCATTTTACAGTTTGTGTGCTCTTCTACAGAAAAGTTAAACAAGTTTAAAAAATTTTAGTGAAGAAGAAATGTGGACAGACTTATAGAAAATGTTTCACACAGAAACACACCAGCACTTTCCTCAGAACAACCACCAAAAATGTGTTTGGACTTTGCTTTCTAATGAACTATGACCTGAAATATTCAGTTGCTTCAATGCAAAATAAGGAGATTGTAAAAACATTGATAGATGATCCAATAACAGATTTGCAGTACTGGATAACTGGGTCTCAAAGCACATTTTGTACATTTCTCTCATGATTCTAGTTGCTTTATAATGATGAAAACTATTATATAAAGATATAAACAAGATAAAGGGTTTACAAACTGGCCAAATGTATTTTAATGTAACTAAAAGATGCTGGTTAGCACACAAAAAAATGAAAAAGAATGAAAGCTCATAAAAGTTCAGATGGCAACTTGGTTGATTTTTAATAACTAACTTAGCWAAATTGTACAAAAAGTTCATTTTAAAAATTGATATTTTGTAAATTTTCTGGATTTTGAATAAAACAACCAGATAAATATTTAATTTAAACAAATAACTTGGGACTGGATGGAATATTTATCGTGGATGAAGCCCACCTGAGAAGAGCTGGAACATACCTTCCCACTGGTTGTCAGGGAAAAGCTGGASGTGGGGGCCAGAGTTTGATTGGCATGGCGACAGATGGTTCCTGTTGGTCTCGCTGGTGTTGGCGTTGTGATCGCAGCCGAATGGATCAGAGTCCTGAAGCTGGAAAGAGACGAAGAGCACATAAACCAATCAAAGGAACGCGGAGCACAAATTAAATAATTTAACCGAAGAAACTTTAAAAAATATATAAATATTTAGAATCTAATTATAAAGTGGTAATATATCGCCTCTACTTACATAGTTTATGGTGACAGTCTGTTCCATGGTGTCGAGGTTCTGATTGTCCTGCCTGAAAGAAAAGATCCAGTCTTGATTAAAATACAGAAAGTGGTTGATATTCCTTCATGAGCTGCAGCTTTGCTTTGTTCTTTGCATTATTTTGTTACGCTCTGCTGTGTGAGTTATTGTGAAGATTTTTCCCCCCCATGTGATGACCAGTCATACCACGATTTTCCTGAGAATYGGACCGTGGAAGGTGTGAATAACAGCTGAGGAGTCACGCTACAGTTACACAACTAAAACATAAATCTTTCCATATCCCAAAGAACTTATCCTGAATGTTTTACCAGTTTAAAGAGGGAAACTTTGTACTCAAAACTAGAGTTAGAATTTAAAATTGTGTGTGAAAATATAACAATGATTAATAATGGTATATTTTTAGCCACAATGTATGACAAAGTATTAGGGCCACAAAACAAGATTTTTTTTTCATTACGAGAATAAAGTCATATTACAACATTAAAGTCGTATGACAATAAAGTCATAATATTCTAGAATTAAAATCATAATAATATAGCCTTTACATGAAAAAGCATGTAGTTATCACTGCATTAAAATGAGGTCTGTTAAGAAACTTGTCAAGTTGTTTTTTAGTATTGCTTGAAAAAAATTGTTAATCTTTTAGCACATTAGCATCAAATTATCAGTTGCAAGACTTGGAAATTGTGCAAACAACTATATGATAAACTGAAGCATGCACTGACAGATGTAGTTGGCTCATAGCTAATTTGYATGAAACCATATTAATCTAGTGACCCAAGTCATCGCTGACTACTTCATAAACACAGAGACACATGGCTGTACACAGCAGGTGTGAGAAAAATAAGGAGGAAATGAGGAACGGAAAATTGACACGTCATGTAAGATTATGACTTTTTTTCTCGTAAACTTACGACCTTAATCATGTAATAATAATAAAAAAAATCTTGTTGTGTGGCCCAAATATTCCATCGTACTAATATATATAAACAGCTAAAAATTAATAAAAAAATTAACTGTTTCACAGGATTATGAGCATAGTTATGCAGCCTCTTCCACAGTTGCAATGTGGGTAAAAAGCTGCAAATAATATGGTAAAAGTAAAAAAAAAAGAATAATTTGAACCCTGGACAGCTCACCTGGCAGTGTTAAGATTGTTCTCATTATCTCTGACGGTCTCTGCGTCCAGGTCCATTCCTGAGCTCTCCTCCAGGGTGTCGAGAAAGCTCTGAGAAAATGAGAAAAATAAATAAACCATGATGTGATAAAACCGTCTCATGTGTTAGATGTTTAAAACTGAAGACGAGAGGCCAAGAAGAGAAACTGAAACTCATCGGAGGTCTGTTTCAAACAGGTGTATCCCAGTTCAACAAACTGTTTCACTTCCTCTGACAGGGAATGGTTTTTTGTGCTTTCCCCTAAACAGCTAAATCCCAAAATGATGTGTCCCACAGGTTACTGGTTACAAAAACTAAAGGTGGGGGGATATTTTTAGATGAACACAGCCACTTAATCTCATCAACACTGGTCTAATTATTGTCCCTTTTTTAAGCAAAACTTCAAATCTAAAGTAACAAACAGGTTGATCCAAAAGGGCTTTAGAAAAAGCTTTTAAGCACTAATGGTAGGTTTCAGTGTTCTGGTTTGGAATAAATAACACTTTAAATATCAAGACTGGAGCTAATCCTTTGAACCAAGCTGAACTACACCTTTTATTCAGTGAGAGTTGGTCTGAATAGCAGGAGGATGATGATAATGATACTGTGTGTGTTTAAAGACCAAAAGGGTCCAATCATCCGGCACCAGGAGGTTTCTACAGTTATGTTCAGCGTCTGCTCGATTTAATCATTTATCTCGTGTTTAAAAAGTTAATTTTCTATCCAGATGATGAATCTACTTACTGCATAAAAACCTCACTTGACCTGGTTCTATTTATAGAAAGTAAATGATGTGTGAGTCACTGTATCTTTCACCTATAAATTCTGTGTAAAGAAACTATATCCAGGTTATTTTTTCCCCTCCTGTCATGAGATCCACAAAGGTTGTTGATTTGTTTTATGCTCGCGTGGGGCAGCAGCACGGAAARGCTTTTGAATTCCACAGTGATGAGATTTACTAAAAGCGTTTGTGATGTGCGCTGAGAAAATATGCACAGAGCAATGGCTTCCTTGTAGATAAACAAGACATTTAATGGGTACAGATGCAACACATTTCACTTTGTTTAATGTAATTACATGTAATGTAAGCCAGTTTTACRTACTTAGGTCTCAAAATTATGAGTCAAAAATTCAAAAAGTAACCCCTTTCAGTATTCAAGGACTAGTTTCCCTGAAAGGAAAACATACAGCCTCCGGCTTCGTAGGCAGGCGAGGATACTGCAGGTGTAAAAAAAATGCTTAAGAAAAAGTGTGTCTATTTCTTTAATAACTGTTGCCATCTCTTCCTCTAAATGTCCAGCTAATGTAGCAAGCTGGGAAGAACAGAAGTACTGTGCAGATCATAAACTTTCTGCCTCAACATGAACAGATAGGTTAGTTATTTGAAAGGGCCACACAGAAACTGGGCTCTCTCTTGGTGAACCTTGAGGTTGGCTTTTTTTGGAAACAGTTTGGCATCGTTGGATTTCACTTTCAGTTGAGTGAAACAGGGGATTTCCCACTTTTGCTTGCAGTAAACTAAAAAAGAAAAAAAAAAGGTGTTTCTGTGGGTATTTGTTTTTGATGTGTAAACACGACAAGATAAACCACCAACACTGGATGGTGTATGTGTGTGTGTGTGTGTGTGTGTGTGTGTGTGTGTGTGTGTGTG